TCTTTCTGATCTTCTCGTCATAATCGAGATGAGGCATGATAGTTGTTTTTGTGGCATGGTATTGCAGGGTGTTTGTTATTCGCCTTGAGTTTGTCATTCAGATTCCTGACGACCAAAATGTGGTATCTCCAGAACGTTTTTCCGCATTTTCGGCTGCTATCATTCCTAAGGACGAAATGTTGAATCGTCTCGTCAAGCTGAATCTGCTAGATTTCAAGGTTATGGGGCATCCTATAGGATTGAGTAAGTGATCTTTATGTTTGCTGTTTCCTATTTCATATGCGAGCTCCATTTATGATCAAGAGCAAGGTGCACCAGGCGCTCATCGAGGAGTACAAAAATTAGCCCAATACGCACAATACTCATGAAGAGGCGGCTGAGACGGAGCCATTCTACGTTGTACAAGCAGTTCGTGATGACGATGTTTCATCTTGGGATAAACATAGGTTCAACCTTTCGCACGCATCTAAAACGAGAACATCTTCGCAAGCGCTTCTTTTATTCCTTTCGCTACATTTCTACTCTTTTTTTGGTACTATTCTACTATTACACCCCCAAAAACTCAAAATTTTAATTTTCGATGAAACTTCGCCTATAGGGGTAATCCGATGCCGTGATAACGAATATGACCTTCACTTTTTGCGCTGGCGCCAATTTGGCGCCAAGGGTGTTTTCACCAAATTTGCTGAAAACTTGCGTTTAGGGGTTATTTGAGGTCCTGATAACGAATATAACATCCATTTCTGTGTCCTCAGACAACGAATAAAACTTTTATTTAGCCACGCCATATGGCTTGTGGATGAAGAGAAGGGTGGTGGCTTCTGAGACTGAGCTTTGGAAAAGGAACGAGTCTCAACGAGTGCTCTGCCTTTCCATCCTCTCCCNCCCCCCCCCCCCCCCCCCCCCCCCCCCCCCCTTGAAGGCTTAATATCGGAAATGTGGCTCTAAAGAGGGCCGCTGGGTTAGTGTACGTGAGATGCCCTACCGTTCAGCAGGGATATGGTGCCGCAACTTGATCCCTGAAATTGAAGACGACCTCCCGTCGACCTCCGAACTCCTTCCATAGGAACTCGCACAAGTAGTCCTCGTGGCGTGAGATATTAATTTCAAAGCGCCGCTTGCACATCGCTTTGTATTTCTGCCACAGCGACTCTACGTTTTGAGTATGGGCACCAGTTGCGGGTCTACAAATTACAACTGGTGACTGACGTGCAGGTGCCGGTAAGCATTGGGCAGTGCGGCGATCTGACTGTATGCCCTCCAGCAGTTACTGATGATCGTCGTGCCAGGTCTTATATACTTTCCGATAAGACGAAGCAGAGTCGGAGCGTCCCTCCTTCGCACCAGCCTCAGATATGCTCGTCCGCTCCCTCTCTCGATACCGCCCAAAAAGCCACTGGTGCCTGCATACCCATCGACCACGACTGTACTTCCTTCTCGCCACCAGCGTTTCGTCAATCTCCACTGTACATCCGAACCCACCAATAACTGGAGGATTCCTTCTGTAGTGCTCGGCGCAGACGTCGCGAAAGTACTGCTCCCACTGGACAACACTACCGTGACCGATGTTAAGTTCGTAAACCTTGTCCTTCACGGTACCCATGTCGCGCAGCGAGAAGTAGCTGAGCGCAAACACGGCCGACTCTGCGGGGTTCGAATTTTCGAAGGAGCCTTTTCGAGCTGGAACATACACCTTTGTTTCGTTCGATGGTCCAGTTCGGCATGGTCGACGGTGGCACACCCATCCGTTGCGGTGCTCATCGTTTCTGGGACTCATAGATCCTTGACAAAGAGGGCACAATGGCAACGCCAGCAGCCCCATGGATCGCAGCCGCTCCTGTAGATCCAGGTGATCCATTTGCATCTTCTCGTACACGTCCTTCAACGAGAAATCGAGGAGTTCTTGCTGACGATTGCGCCTTTTCAGAGCGTTGAGAGCCATCGCAACACACGTTTACAAGTTGTGAAATGAAATGGTGATGTTCGTCTCATCAGGGATTTGTCTTTAGCCATGGGAAAGTGCCTAAGTCATCCCCTTTCCCACAACCTGGCTGTCTTCGACCATGGGGAAGCGCCTCGGGTCACATCGTCTCCCCCACAACCTGTATGCCTTGTCGTCGCGCCAAATAGCCTCAGCGCATAAAATGGGTGTTATATTCGTTATCAGGACCTCAAATAACCCCTAAACGCAAGTTTTTAGCAAATTTGGTGAAAACTCCATTGGCGCCAAAAATGAAGGTCATATTCGTTATCAGGGCATCGTATTACCCCTATAGGCGAAGTTTCATCGAAAATTAAAATTTTGAGTTTTCAGGGGTGTAATAGTAGAATAGTATCCTTTGGGAGTCGGTATTTGTGTCCAATTGTAATTACTTCGCACCTTCCTCGCCCAGCCCCTCACTCGCCTGTGGGGTGACCTCCCTTAATTGGTTGACTAGTGACCTCTCGAGCAGTCTCAGTGTACTGACATTGATTTTATGAATTGAACTCTTTATTATTAATATTGTTAATAATAATAGTATTATTATTATACGTTTTAAAATAATATGCGGTAAGGACACGACAATGTAAGGATTCAAAATCTTCATATAATATTGAAACTATGTAGACTTATCGGTGACGTATCTAGACATTTTCCTACAGAATTGCTCTATTTCCTGGTCACTTGGCCCATTCCGGTATATCTCTTCGAACCTGCAAAAGCAATAAAGAGCAATGCATGTATGCTGTGTGCTGTACAAAAGCACCTACAGCCTTGTTCCTTCCGCTATCTTTTCTCTTCTTTCCTGATCTCTTTTTCGGAGCTCCTTGGCGTTGTTCGGGTCCTGCATTAGATACAAATGAGAACGATTCAGCATGATCACGAACATGATAACAATGAAAATGCCACCTTCTGTAGACGTGTTAATGCTGCTCTCGCCTCGTAGTTGAGCTTCCGGAGAGCTCCAATGAGCACGCTCAAGGGCGGATGGTCCACGTCTACGAGGACCGTGAGCCGTCTGAAAAACTTATACATCATGCACTTGAAAAGCCCCGTGGTTATTGATTACCTGTGGAATGCTTCTGCTGAGTTTGTGGTCCGCAGTTCCTCAAGCCCCCATTTGCACCACACATCTTTGAAGAATCCTCGCAACCATGTCTCTTGGAAGTAGCGCAGAAAATCTTGGCATTTTCCATAAGCGGCGTGGTCCGTGGGGACGGGGGGAGTTTGGGGAGCCCTCACCCGTTGCAGCAGTGGTCGGGGAAGAAATATCACCCCTGAAAAAGCAAAGAAAGCTAATTGTTTAAGCCAGTCAAACGAAAAATTTCTTTATTAACGTACCTTTCACTATTTCCCACCACTCTGTGGGTGGCTCCTCCCTTTCCAGTCCATGGATGTATCGTCTCAGCCCCAAAGAATCTCTTTTGCGATTTAAAGCCCGTGCAAGATGAAATGCACAGCCTTCCACAGACGCCCTTTGGAAAACCTTGCGAGCAGCTTTTATAGCTGCTTTTTCAAAGTCTAGCACCACTCGCTCAGGTGTATCTCCAGTGACGTTTTCTTTCAACATTCCGAAAATTTTCACGTAGGTCCGTTCCGTTTTCTTCGCAGTGATGCAATAAAGGAGTGGTACCTCAACTCCCTGAGAGCAGACGCCGTGCACGCAGTAGAGCTGTGCTTGATATCCGAGCGTCTTAGGATGCAGCGAGTGCATCCCGTCTGCAACAACGCTGTGCAATCCTGCTTCGCATGCCTTCTGAATTTGAAGTTAATCTAATTACCGCCTTACTCATGTAATAAGTCATTAAACCTTAATGGTTGCAACTGAGAAGTAGATAAGCAACCCGGAAGCGTGGTGCTGCAAGAAAACTGAGCCGTCGCGCAGAGTTCGAAAATCCAAAGGAACATGCTCCATGTTGACAGATCGATTCAACCATACGCCGACGCTGCTGAACGAAGCAGAATATAATACCTTAACAAGAGCACTACTTAGGAATACATACTTGGCCAACACTCTTCTTCAAGCTTGATATCCTGATCGTCGCACTGGACCCTTATGGAGTCTTCCTCTTCTTCTGAAGCAAGGTCGGATTAGAAAATTTGATTTGATTCAGCAAACCAAAAAATGCTCAAAGATTTCACCGTTGTCAGCTTCAACGGGTGCCGCTACCATATCAAGTTAGACCTGAGCGGGTTTCCTTACTGCGTGTGACTAATCCTTCCTTATGTCCTGCTTTATTTTATTTTTCATGCTTTAAATGTGTCGTATTTTCTCACTCACACAATCGATATTGTTATACGTAAGGCTAGTTGTCTGGCAGAGAGGTCACCAGCCATCCAATTAAGGCTGGTCACCCCCCCCCCCCCCCCCCCCCCCNCCCCCCCCCCCCCCCCCCCCTCCTCACAGGCGGGTGAGTGGCTGGGCAAGGAAGGTGCGAAGGATGGGCGAGGAAGGTGCGAAATAATCACAATTGGACACAAATTGACTCACCCGTATCCTTTTTTCCCTTTTCTGACTCCATTCTGCTTGTTACTGGGTTAAGGTGAGGTTGGTAGTATTGAACGACATGGCTCCTAGCGAAACAACAAGAAAATGTGACCAACTTGTAAAAGCACTATATTACAGAATTTTCACTTGTCTGCAGCATTTTGGCCTCAACGATGAGATTTGCAGAGCACGAAACATGGTACGGGCGTGGGCAGCTGAATTTCAATATGTGTTTTGTTGTTGCAAAAGAATCGACCATTGATTGCATGTACGAGCCCCTTGTGCAGAAGTTTGCTGAATACCTCGTCGATTTAGAAATGGTAGGTCAGTTTTATCGTCTCAAAGGATGTTTGGTAGAGTAGCTCAAGCTTATTCGTTCGAAGTTAAAAGTAGATTTACCTTCCCTGTTCAGGAATGCGGTTTTCTTCACATAGCTGAAAAACGTATCCAATTACCTACGATAATGAGGAAAGTGTTCAAAGATCTCAATACATGTGGTAAGGGCTTTTATATAGTCATTGTTTCTGTGTAGGGATGTGCTGTTATGAAGCTTCCAAGGATTTTTTCACTGAGTGTTATTTCTCACTGAAGAATTCTAAGGATGGTAGCTACTCAGCGTGACAGACCCTAGCTTGCGGATGGAGGAAGAAATCATAGGTCAAACACCACTGGTACTTGCACAGAGACGCGTGTGAGTTCAGGGGATGGACTCTGTTTTATAGATTTATGGATTTACCAATCGGGTAGCCCGGCCGACGCCGGCCTCTCCACATTTTCGTATTGAAGTTGACCCGCCGCCTGCATTCCTTTCACATTCGAACGATCCGCTGAAGGTGAATATGTAGTAGGAATTGACTTCCATCAATCACATACAAACACTCCTGCACACTTCGTGCGTGCCCAGCCCGCCATGAGCGAAGTCCTGCTCATGGTCGTGCGGTTAACTAGGACGGTTCATTCGCCACTTACTGTGATTTGACTTGGTATTTTTACTTAAACTGCGCTCATTCCATACCCGTTCCGCTCTCCTCCTCCTCAGCACTCTTCTATTTCGCTCCGCTTCCAGTGGCTTTCCTCCTTATGAAAAAGTTAGGTGGAGGTGGCGTAGTGGCAATTAGCGCACTCCACACATGCTTCTTTCGGGTTAGAGTCTCGGATCGTGGTCCGCCTTGGCCAACCAAGCCTTCCATCCCTCTGGGGTCGGCTAGTTGGTGCCAGACTCGTCCGAGAGGAAAAAGCATTGGCTTGTACATCGACTAGCCATCGCAAGTCATTGTATAGGCCACATACTCATTCAATACGCCACTACGATTCTGAATAGAAGTCGAATGCGTGGGCGCATCTCTCAGACGGGAATGATCATTGCCCCAAGTTTTTATCCTTCATTCTTGCATGAAAACGCTGTAATAATCGGCTAACTCGCCACTCCTTTGAAATAGATGATGCTTTTCGGTACACAAAGTTGGACACAACTTACAGGTCCTGTGTCAACACGGGCACTGAAAATTGTCTGGAGACCTTTTCCTTGAGTATACGAGCGCATCAGAGCATTGACAATGGCAGAGGACACGAGTCGACTCACTCGATTTTATCTATGCCACGTTTATTCGACTCTTAACAGCGTGATCTACGCTACGGTGAACAGACAGATACCCTCCAGATATCAGACGTCCAGCATTTGGAGCACAACTTTGGGATCAGTGTTCAAAACCACCTACGGTAGCTCGCCTTATAGAATAATCCAGCCACGCTGTTAACTTGACAATTTGACCTTGAACAAATTCCGACTTGAGGCGACTTGACCTCGGTAAGAGTGGAGGATAAGTGAAACCCCACTTAGGACAACTTGAGATGACTGACTGCTTTCGACTAGGCTGCAGACAGCGATGCCAATTGGAGTCCTGAACAAATTCTCTTCAAAGACGCTCTACTTGATTTGTCGGAATGACTTCACTTGAGCTCGCGATAAGGAACAACATAACTTGAATATTTACTTGAGATAAGTGAACGTAGCAGGTTAGGTGAGGAGATCGGGGCTTGAACTCAGCCGGTGCTTGAGATGAATGAGACGATATCGAGCCATTGTACTCGGGACTTGCCCTTTTATAACTGCCTCGAGCCCGCCACATCATTGCGCGGATCACGTTTATAATCGAATAGGCCAGATCAAAACTAAACGGCAGAGTTAGAAAACGAGAAGAGAGAAATAACAAAAACATTAAAAGAGGTCGCATTCGCGAGAAATGGGAACAGAGTTGCGGAATCGTTTTCTCCCTGTGTTATAACATTGTGTCAAACAGACCGAACTGAGCAGTTATGACTGAGCAGCTGTGCAAGGGTGGCTGACTTCGTAGGGCAGTGAGAACTTAAAGTCAAGGAATAAAGCTTCGAGGCTTCGATGCATGTGCTCGTTTCGCTTTTTCTTCATATCTGTTTTATACCCTTCGAAACATTTTTGCGCTTCATATTGTCTACTTTCCATTCGAGGAACTCGAGAGGAATGATAATCCAGGAAGAATTTTTTTGCCATCACTGAGCGAATAAAGGTGTCCATCTATCCCGAATACTCGGTTGTTAGAAATTTAGGGTAACTCACTCTACTTTCGGAAGAGGGCGTTTGGTTGACTCGTTCCACCAGAGCCCTTATTCTAGGAATACTATCCTAACTTTGGAAGCGTGAACCTGCATTTTCGAATGTATATTTCCGTGGAGCAGTAGGTAATCAATTTATCTACATATGATCATCTAACCATATATAACGCGCTAGGTGTATGTGGGTGTGTGTCTCTGTGTGTTTGGGTGTGGGTCTGGGTGTGTGTGTGTGTCTGAAAATTCGAGCGCCAAGATGGAAGCGCTCATGACGGGTGGAAGGACTGGACTCTGCCCACGGGACGCAAGGCGCGACGAAGTAAATCTCCTGTTCCAGTTTACCTGGAGCATTGAAATTTGAAAAGAGTACAGTCGACGGTATTGCAAACCGATGATTAGGCTTCATCGTCGGCTTCAGGCTTCATTGTCGGCCCCGGCCAGGTGATCCGTATGTACAATAGATGTCAAGAGACCCTCTTTTGAGATGAACGTAGAGATGTGGCGGGAAACGATGCCATGGATAGGTCAAAACCTTGAATCTACCCGTGACCTGCTTTGAAGTTGGCCTCTATGGAGCCTTCAATCGTTACATAGGATTTCTATATTGATATTGGAATAGCTTTTCCTTTCAACTTCTCCACTAATCTCCATAACCGGACAGATCGATCCACCCATTTTGCAAGCTGTAGTTACAATCCCATGATACAAATACATCAGAATCTGTCGAAATTAGACTAGTTCAAAAGTTCACGGTCTCTCTCACTTTCTCTCGTCTTCATCATCTAAATGATACCCCTTCATGATGCAATAAAACTTGTCCTTACTGCACGAGAGAGTGCGCCTTGCTATGGCTCCTTCTATGTAGAAGGTAATGGACTCTTTAACCTGCGCCATCGAATTTATGCTAATGGGTGAATTCACAATTTTGAGGGTACCTTTAATTCTGAACCCTCTGCATCCCCAAAGATGTAGAAGGTTCCAAGTCGCGATCCAACGTCGGCCAGAGAGGATCATTGTGATCGTCATTCAGACGGGGGCCGTCTTCCTCGCAGTCGCTAACAAGGTTGTCGTACATAGCGTTGAAAGCTGTGGCGAAAAGCTCTTTAATGTCGTACGTTCCTTGCTATTTGGTGCTCACATTTTCTCGCAGGAACCAAAGTAGTCTAACGAATACGAAAACACCACCTTCGGGCAGAACTTTTCGTTGGTTATGTTGAACAGCGTTTTGGCGTACTGAATGATGTAATAGATTTCTCTCAAAAGCTTCCGACAACCATTTCGAGCAAAGGTTTTGCAACTTCTCTTAGCTCGAGCTGAGCTGCACTCCAATTCGGCGGGTGAGGATTGGCAACACTTTTCTTGAGCCACATTCCCATTATTTACGTTTTTTTCATATTACCAATATATGAAAGAGATTTTAAATAGTCAATGTAAGGCGTAAATTGTGTTGTAAGTGTTTAAGTGTTTCTTTGATAAGAAAAATGAACACGTGCATCAAGGACTTGAACCTTCGCGTCATCTGGACTGGGAAGGATGGGAGTAGAGGTCGGCGGTCGTTACCTACATCAAACCCCCTTTGCAGACGACCTTTCCTACAGCACCGAGTATCGAGCAGGCGGAAGGAATGCCGTTTGAATTCGACAACGTTGTGGAGAGGGCGACTTACGACTGGACCTATTGAACCTGATGTTTACGAGAAGCAAATATTTATCTGTTGCTCCTTTTTACAGTAAATGGAACGAATATCTCCAAATGCTTTAGCTACATGTGTTTAGTTTGGGAGGTAACATGATGAGCGTACCAGCTTTGCAGCACAGCAGAAGGACTGTGGCGTGGAGAGCATTTGAAATCATCCAGGGGATCTGTAAAAGGGAAAAAGACGGGAAACATCCGATTCCAGGTTGACCTTCACAACGCTGTGGTCCTTCTTCTTTGACATACGCCTCAGAGACTAGTTCCTATGCAAGAGAGATGACTGTGCAGTCGGCGTCAACCAGCGCGATGTAGAGGCGACACTCGGAATTTCTCGATGCGCGTAAGTGCAGAATGGGATCCGAAGTTTCGAGCTTCATTAGGGGTTGGTAACGTGCTCCTCGATGTTGCGGCCTGTGACGATAAGACGTCGAGGTAAGCAGCGCCGTCCTCGAGTCCGTAGATCATGGAATCTATGGTTTATCGGAAGATGCATGGTGTAGATTAGACGTCAAACTGGGAACGATTGTAGCGGAGTAGTCCGCTGAGCGTGATATTGGTTAGCAGCTCCTTTGCCTCGTCATCGACTTCGATTTGAAGATGAGCATGGGCGAAGTTGATTTGCATCAGTGGTTGTGCCACCATTTGGTTCCGCAAAACTGTCGTCGGGAGATGGCAGCAGGTGTTGATGTAGTGTGAGCAGTCTAATGGAAAAATAAGCACAGAGTCGTAACGTTCCATTTGATTTCTTGACCACTACGATCGAGGCTGCCCAGGCAGAGTAGACGATCGGAAATAGAACTTCTGCAGTATGAACATCGGGTTTCAGCTGGGGTGTCGCCTTCGTCTTCGACCGAGTCCTGTCTTGAATACATAACATAGCTGATCTTCTGTCTGGCGACAATCTCTCTTTTCGACACGGAGCAGCAGGATCAGCAACGATGGTCACTCCACTAATGTATTTTTGCAGTGGTTCCGCTACTTCCGAAATTTTCTGGATTCGTTGCCAGCCGAAAATGTCGAGGTTTCCGGTGACGTAAAAGCATACTTGTCCACCGTGCTGCCTTCGTTCTGAGCTCCTCAGTACAAAGTCGACAGTGACGTATCCTTTTGTGAAGATCCTTGTTCTGTTTGCGACATTGACAATCTGTTGAACTTCTGTAGGTGCGATCTCCCGAGTCTCTTCAAACTCGATTCTGATATCAGTGTTATCGTATCAAGTAGAAGATTCGAAGGACCTCCATTTACTTCGACTTCCAGGTGTTGAGCGCCCTTGCGTAGGGCGTCCTCGATGCTCTTGATCTGGCAGTTCCTTACACCGCTACGTCTGTTCTGTTGGCAATGGTTCCTGTTTTCCAGATTTTGAATTGCGTAACGCGTTGAATCCTTCCTCATTTATTGGTTCTTGCTCTTGCTTGGAATTTCTTCTTCTCCTCTTGCTGACGTAACTGATCAAAATGTTGAGATTTGCTGTATTTTCCAACATTCCTGCAGCTTCTTTGTACGACCGAATGAGTTGACACTCGGCTGTATGGTCCTCGACTGTGATATCGTCTCCTGGCCCTACTCTCTCAACAATCGTACTAATTAGTCAACGGATTCGGCTACCTGGAATCCGACGACTTAGACGAGGTGCTGAAGGCTATCGATATTTATGGAGTCGAACTTGGCATGAGAACTCCACGTACTCACAAGCGTCTCGAAGCTATTGGATTCCGGTGGTTGTACCTGATTTTGAAGCATTCGAGCCGTCGACGGAATAAGCTTTTCGCAGGATCAAATAGACGATTCATCGTGCCAACGAATTCATTCCATGGCAGCTGACGGCGACATCCGCGCAGTTGAGCCGCAAAATAGCTGGCGACAGTCTTCCTCCGAGCAACTGACCAGTGAGCGTGTCCTCTCCTGCTTACTCAGTTCCAGTCGTTATCGAAGACGTCCTTGATGCGTTTGTAACAGATGTCGAATGTTCCTCCGTTTTCCTGATCAAAATTCTCTTTGTAAATGAGTCGGCACATGGGTCGAAGACACATACAGTAGCGCTCAAAAGTCTTCGGTGAAATGCTTCTTCAGTCAGACTTTTTAGTCGTAACTCTTTTCCTACTGGATCTAATCCCGGGAAATTTGGATACGTGTAGCATGGGTGTATTATGAATATTTATCACCATTGACGTGCAATCTGATCATGTTCCAGATATCCCAAAGGGCTTGAACAAAAAATCAACTGGAAATACGGATGATGGTCCTTCTAGAATCTCTTTCCTTTTTGTCATGTCTAAAGTGTACGAGAAATGCAGACGTCAACAACTTTTCTTTTAGCAAAATCTGCTACCGCAACAGTCACCTTGCTCTAACTGTGGATATTCCAGCTTTGCAGTTAAATCGTGTTGGGTAGGGTGGAATATGCTCTAGTTAAACATATCCAAATTTTGCGCGAATTGGTCTATTAAGAAAAAAGTTATGAACGAAAAAGCGTCGAAGCTTTTCACCGAAGACTTTTGAGCGCTACTGTACTTTGCAGCTGCTGGATTCGCGCCATTCATCCGTACCTCCATCATTTCCAAGGCAGGGATGCAGGAGTTTGAGGTTTCATTCTGCTGCCTCTGCATGAGCATCACCATCTTCTGCTGGCCTTCCATCTGGCCTTGCGTCAGGGAGAGAAACGAAGCACGTCAGCCATGAGACCTTACCTGATCGCCAGTTGTTGCGCTCAGACATAGCAGCAGAGGCAGAATGTTTATCAGAAAATAAACTGAACACAACAGCAATCGAGGCCCAAAGAGATCATGGTCTAGCCGCGAAGCGTGACAAGTAACAATAACAGTATTAGCGAATCATGACTTCAACATCACTGAACAGAATGCTTCAGTGGGCACCGCCGTAGAATCATCTTGACGCCTCTGACTGCGTTTCTCCCTATTTTCTTTTGAATATTTGAAGGAAATTGCTTCCCTATGTTGGCATGTCTTCCTCTTTGTCTGGTCCTTCAAACTCATCGACCTCATAGAATCCGACATATTCTTCGGTTTTCCGCATCAACGGCTACGACGTGAAGCACAGATGACAGCCCATTTTTTCATTATTAGTCATAGATGTTGCAGAAGTAGGTCTGGCACGTCCTCTGTATTCAGCAAGAATCGCTTGCTCCGCCGATCTATCGAGGGTCGTTGCAAAAATACTTTTCGAAGTACTCGAACAAATGAGATGCCGGCCGTTGCAATCCTTTGCTGGGCAAATAGACGATAGAACTACAGTTAAGTGATCATGGCATCATCGTCCGCAGGAAGATTCCTCGAGGTAGTTGAAAAAGAGATTCACAATGAATCAGAAGGGATTGAATCTGCTTAGCGAGTCAATTTGTCTATGTACGAGCCCAAAAGATCGAAGGCAATTACCATAAGGTCCATTCTTAACTTCCGCGTCATCTTTGTGTTAAAGGGACATTCAACAGAAGCACGTATCAAGTGAAGTTATAAACTGTGGACTCATTTGTGAAGTCGTCATTTTTTATGAGGTGTTAGGCTGATTTCGGCGATGTTGTCATCCCGCTGAAATCAGTCCTGTGCCAGGCCTTTGTGGGTGGGTGGCTCAGTTCAAAGAACAAAAGGGCACTATCGGATGTATGCAAAACGTGATTACTATTTGGTTTAACTTCTGGTTCTAGGCGAATGCGTATTCCGAGTTACCGATCTCACTACGTTGTACTTGAAGTTGTGTCCGTCTTACAGAGGTGTAGAACCTCCGAAGGTTAATGGCGTTTGAATTTAGTTCCCTTTGTGGCTAAGGGATTAATATGTGTTCTAGGTGAGTCTGTATATGGTTCCCATGTTTATCAGAGCATCACAGTTGAGCCCTGCTGTCATTGATAAGATGGATGTTCTTTCGCAAAAGGTAAATACTTTTTGCAAGGTTTCCTTTTTTTCATTGCCTTCTCGGTTTTTCTCTATTTTTCACCAGATTATACCCAAGATTGATGGGATCCGGTGCGTAAAGGAAATAGCCACCGAAGTCGAAATCGACGCAGATTTGGTGATGCGTTGTGTCAGGTAGGGTACATTTTCACTAAAGCAGGTGTCTCCTTTACTGCTTATTTTTTTAGGAATTTGCATTTTTACGAATGTGTCAGTTTAGTACCACTGTTTTTGTACTCAAACACATATGTCGCAACGGAGAAGCTCCATGATTTCTACAGCAGCTCGTCGGAAATAGAGGTAGTACGATTATGCTACCTATGAATCCTAGGCTTGACGTGCTCTCCTTCTGTTTGTGTTAGTGATTCAGTGTTAAGGTGTGGTGGGACGATCGCACAGTGACTTACTAGTTGTTTTGATCTGAAGACCAATTGTAATGAATTAGCTGCAATCAGCAGCAAGGATTGCACCTAAGCGGTTGTGATTTGACAAGTTGATCCATGGCTGTGCCTGTCATACCTTTCACGAAAACTGCTGTCTACTTCATAATAGTTACCGCTTCTTCCCTTTAGCGTTAATTAGGTGCCGTCGCAGAGTTCACTGGCAAAACTCGCCAACAGTTTCGTTCAAAACCTCGTCTACTTCTCCTCGGCTTCAATGAGATCTTCATTCATGGCATCACTCCACTTCTTTCCGAGGTCTCTCCACTCGCTCGTTTGTCTAATGCATAAGAATTCAGGTTTTCCTATTGAATGAAACTATGGTTTCTTCTGCGTTCTGTCGAGCACTGCGCTTTTTGAGACACAATTTCGTTTATTACACTAGTTGTTTGAGAATAAAGATAGAATTAAAGGCCAGCAGTGGCCTTAACGGCGCAGTTTACGAAAATTTCGAAGTATCTAATCTTACAAGGGAAGGATACTAGGTCGCAGTGGCCATTCAAGATGAGATGTATACCGACGCACGTGTTTTCAAACGCTGATCCAAAATCTGAGTTCCAAATCTTCGAAACGGTTCTGGGAACAAAGTTATGAGCCCTTTTTATCCCGGCTGCTGCTTTTACACGTTACCCGAGCAGGTCTGAACGTGCAGCGATGGCCGAGTTGTTAGGACGATGGAGTGGTGGGCGCGACAGGTAGGTTCGGATCGTTGATGCTTTTGCTTGTTTTGCTTTTTTGTAAAAAGTGTCGTAAACGCTTGCAAAGTACATTTAAGCATCATATAGACCACATACAGCCCTCCTTCATATCTACGGAGCAGCAGAAATGATAATACAAGTAAAATTTTTTATCGCCTTCATAGGGGTAATAGGGGTGCAACGGAACCCCTCCGCTTCGGGCACCTAACACGTGGTCACGAAATTCAGCTGTTCCATGCAATTTCGACGGAGGACCCTTTCTCCCCAGGGCAACTCGTTAGACCATAGCGCTTTTGGATGAAGTAGTGCCTTATCTAGAAAGTGATAGAAGCGGGCTGGTACAATTTTGCTTATATTTTTATAAGAAAGCACTGTCGGAATAATAGATGAGCACTTCATGATCAGATATGGTAATCCTACAGTGTTTGAAACAGTTAAGCTTCCCACAATGAGAGCAACGTGTGAAATGTAGTTCATCACATCCATCACTCTTACAGTTCTAGATGAGATGTTCCGGGTCTGTATTCAGTTACCCTGCTGCAAACCACGATGAGAAAAGAACTCTTTGAATTTAGGTGCGCTAACCAAGATGTATACTGGAGAGATAAGGCGAGTTATGGAGTTGCGGTTGGTAACGTGGAGGTTCAGATCATGAGAAATTACGACAGAGGCAATGCACTTGTACACGGCTTTGAATTGTAAGAAAAATATACATCGAGAGGCTGAATTTGGAAGGTTTTCCCAGGCGAAATGTTGAGCACTTCCACCTCTTTGCCAGTTGGCAAAATACCCTGAATCGCTTCATGGTCCTTGAACGAGCTCTATGAGTCGACGATCAGTAGGGTTGAAGGCGAATCTGTTGATTCAATGCATGAACTAGCCCAATCCAGCTTAAGTTCTTTGCTCATCATGTGGGTTGTACTGGCCCTGATCTCCAGTATGAAGCGGGAAACAAATGCGATACCACCGCTTTTGGGCAGAACATATTACTGGTAATATGATGATCGATTGAATGTTTTGATCCCAAGTTTCCTTCGAATCCTCCAGATCTTGCTCAAAATTTCGCAATTCTATTTTGCGCGAAGCTTTCGCAGCTCTTCCCTGCTGGACATATAGTGCACCTGTATTCGTTCCGTTTATTAGCATTTCTGGTGCTCCGTTATATGAGCGAGGGCTCTACTTGGTCTATATGATGCGTAAATGTTTTTTGCAAGCGTATAGTACACTTTTTATAAAAAAGCAAAACAAGCAAAAGCATCAACGATCCGAACCTACCTGTCGCGCCCACCAGTCCATCGTCCTCACAACTAGGCCATCACTGCACGTTCAGACCTGCTCGGGTCGCTTATAGAAGCAGCGCCCGGGGAAAAAGGGCTCATACCTTCGTTCCCAAAACCGTTTCGCAGATTCGGACTTCAGATTTGAAATGAGCGTTTGAAAACACGTACGTCGGTATACATCTCATTTTGAATGGCTACTGCGACCTAGTATCCTTCCCTTGTAAAATTAGATACTTCAAAACTTTCGTTAACTGGGCCTTTAAGGCCACTGTTGGCCTTTAATTTTATCCTTATTCTCAAACAACTAGTGTAATAAACGAAATTGTGTCTCAGAAAGCGCAGTTCTCGACAGAACTTTTACGGACTCGACTTCCTCGCACTGGATAACGGGATTGTTTGCATAGCATCGAGTAGTAGGGTTCAAAAGCTCTTTTTTGCCGCCTCTTCCTAGAGGGCGCCCGCGTTTCGCTGCAAGAACGAAAGTACTCCATCAAATGCGATGGCACCACTTTCGGCCAGAATATTTCGCTGGTAACATGCTGAAAAGCGTTTGATCCGATGGATCATTTGGAACCACCTCTTTGAAGCCTCTAAACCCCATTTTGAGCGATTGTCTAGAATTCTCCTGCCGGTGAGGGACAAAAAAAAACTTTTCCTGTAATACCTTCCCAGTGTTCCTAGATATGAGTTCGCCCCTTAGATGGCCAATATTGAGCCCAAAACGTTTTGCAAGTGTTTAGGACACATTTTGTGGAAAAGCAAAACGAGGGCATGCGTCAAGGAACCGAACCTTGATATCATGCCTTCCTAGCCGCTAGGCCACCGTTGCACAGGTAAGGGCTTTGCTCGGCTCAGTGATCCGTTCACTGCAGTGGTATAACACACGGAGGAACTGGTACCGTAACTTTGTTCCCAGAATCGTTGAGCAGATTTGGAACACGAATTTGAGATCAGCGTTTAAAAACATTTACGTCGGTATACATTAGAATTGCTTGATTCTCTACCAATAGTGCCACGCGCGCTGTTGTTGATTGTCGTGCAAGCTCTCAAATTTGGGTAATTAAGCCTTTATGTATCCAAGCTAGAACAAAATAAATGTTCTGCGAGGAAGAACAACGATGACTACGGGAAAAGGAAAAAAAACCATTTTCGTAATTGATAAGGCGGAAGAGGAGAAACCCTTTTTCAGTTAATACGGAGAAATACAAAGGAGTGTCCAGAAGCAAGGAGAAAGAGAAAAAAGTACGATTTCAATACGATCGCTCACTTTCTATACGGAATCTACGCCGAGAAAAACATCCTGTGACGAGCAACATTCGCATTGCGGGGCTATGGGAAATCTTGCTTGTTTTCAATATAGCTCAGCTCTGAAACATCTGAGGAATCGCAAGCTAGCTTTCCGCGATACTCCCGCCACCAGAATGCGCTTTTCGCAAGTTCGCATGAATTAAACTTCGCTATTTCGCAGTTTCGCAATTTCATGGTGCATCGGCCGGGAAAAATGTTAACAACTTGATAACCTTGAGTGAAAACGGTTTCCATTGAGAGGAACGCAAGACTCGCAAGAATCACATTAGCTTCGGCCAATCACCTCAGTCGTCTGTTTTTACTCAAAATCGCTGTCAATTGAAATAGTTTTCTCAGAACCTGAAAACAAATTTTAATTACAGAATGGATTAGGAAAAAGACTCCATTCATTATCAGGCGCATAGGCTTACCCACCGTCATTGGTACGTATAGAAAAGCATAGGTAATGGCTACAACTAAGTAAATGAGCAATGTGCCTAACGGCCAACATTCTGGATTAAAAAGCGTAGCGTTGCAGAGCAAGCACTTATGTTTTCGCAGAAATCGAGCGCTTGGCACGCCATTTCCATAGAGGAGGATCTTCCTTTGGGATCCCATTTCGGGAAAACGTGTTCCTGTAAAGTGTGTTCAAGTGCAAATCTTACTAGTTTGAAAGGAGATGGATTTGTATAGACTTTGCACTCATTTTCTACGCATATTTCGAAAGCGGCAGAGTTTTCATTGCTTACTACAACACCATTTCGATGGCATTCCATTCGCATTAAATTTTCATTCGAGGATTTGAATACCATCAGTAGTGGTAGCATCAGAAGTCTCATGGTTCTTGATCGTCGTGTCATGCAGGAATATTGCGGCACTCGATGAATTTTCTCTGTAACTCACGTTTTTCCGCGGTCGTAAGTTGTAGTGGTTCCGATTATTTTCGGAATCAGTGTTCATCTTGGGTAAGGAATCTCCGCTGTTAATCTCAAGAGGTACAACCAAATTTAAAGGTCCTCTTATTTTCCTCTTATTAGCTGTTATCAACTCAATTTCTCTCATCTATAGTCAGCGGACAACTTGAATCCCGTGATACGCACCAGTTTCCATTCTTTTCGCGGCAAAATGATTTCGGTGTCCAAGACTGTCGCTCTTTTTTGGGGCATTACGGGATTTGTTCGACCTTTGGACGTTTTCGCCTGATGTTGTTCCCTAAGTGCGCTTAAGAGATGGTCGCGCCAAATATTCCAAAAACGTGCTGAGAATTTAATAGAAGACGCTTTTACAGCTTGTATTCGTGTTTCCATGGTTGGAATATCTGTAGGGGATGATAGTCTGGATCTTGGGTATTCATGTCGACATTTTCAAGTGGAAATACGATATTCATCTTATTTTGTAAGAAGGGGTTATGTTTTTCCATTCGATCGCATGTCCGCTCAGAAAATCGCCTACTGAAGTGTTATTGATGGCAGTGTGAAGTTTTTCGGCACTTAGTAAAAACGTTGGTGCATTATCGTATGTTATAATAGTTAAGGGTATCCCGCGAATGCTTCGGTATTGATTTTTTGAAGGACCTTCAGATGTACTAGGCGCGGGTAAAGATGCAACCATGAGTTTTC